CCCCCCCCCCAGAAAGAACCTGCAATCTGTCGACTCAGTAACTGCCAGTCATTCTCTATGACCTGGAAATGTCAATGGTTGTCTTACGTAATCAGTGTGGGAGTTCAAACTGACACTGAATTATGGAGGTTGGATATTGTTATAGATGTGATGCTGAACTGGGCTTTGTTCCTTGCAGGAGTTTTTGTCCAGGATTGCTTTCCAGTCAGGGAAAAAGTATACACTGACCTCGCTAATAAAAACAATTGAAAAAAGACATCCAGTTTCTGGGATACTTGAATAGACGTAAAAGTCTTGAGCATCTAGCTCTCAGTGCCAAAATTGAAGGCAAACGAGGCAGGGATAGACCCAGAGCAACCTACTTGGAGAACCTAAACAGTAAACAGATCGGTAACAAGGAAAGATAAGGATGATGTAGCTTTTTTGAGAGCATCCAAATGAAAGAATGAATGGAGAACCATGATGATCAATGTGGCATTTGATGATAATGATGAACCCACCAGGGAGTGGGTGGCTGGTGGGTGCTCTGGTGTGGTTTCCTCCTTCTTTACTATCAAACACCTATAGAGGGGGCTCTCATGATCTAGAGGTTAAGATGTTCACCTCTCATTCAAAGGTCCCGGGTTTGAATTCGGGTAGCGACTGAAAAAAAATTATACTCTAAAATTGTCTCCTTTCGCCTTCTTTCCTGCTCTCTTGCAATGTTCTGTCGTCTGCTTCCGTCTTCACTTTCTGCCCCTACCCCCTCACCCCCTTTTGCCTCCTCTTCTGGGTTTCTGACTCTTTCTACAGCCTTTCTACTGCTACTCCTTGGCTCCTTACTGCTGTCTTTCAGCCACACCCCTGATCTTCTGGTAGGAAAGATCTACACCTTGCCTTCTCGGACAAGGGCGAAAAATCTCGGATGTCCTGAGTGCAAGTGTGCACGTTAAAGGTCCTTAGGTGGTCTAAAATCGATAAGAGTAGGCTTCAGCGGCCACCCGGGCAAAATTCAAAATTTCCTACCAACTTTACCAACTGAAAATGTTTATTGTGTCCCGCGCACTCATATGACCTTATGCAGTTGCGAGCACCGTAAAACACTTGCGCCCCCCCCCC